TTCCCAGGAGAGGCTGCTGTCCCCGGCAACCCCACCCGCCCTCCGCTGAGCGTCCGGCTCGCTTAGCGGGACCGTAACGGTGCTGGACGCAGCCGCATCCCCTTCAGCAGCAGATCCTGCAGCACGGAGCCGGCGGTGCAGGACTCCACCAGCTCCCCCTGTCCCTCCGCCTCCAGCCTCAACCACGGATGATGCGCTTCTCGGAAGCCTTCAGACCCCACACTTCATCCAGTGCCCGAGCTCCCCCGACCTCGCAGGTCTAAGGGTGCTCAGCACCCTTGAAAACGGAGCCGAGGCTCTGCTCTTGTTCGCTTGACCACCCCAAGGCAGGTCCTGCAGCAACAGGCAGGAACCGGACCCTGCTCTCCTCCCTCCACAACACTTCTGATTGCCATGACACAAAAGCTCTCCTGCCAACACCTCTTCCTCGCGATGCCTGTTTTAAAAGCCCTCCCCACCCCGGCCGACCACCTGCAAGGGAAGGGCACAAATCCCCTGAGAGCAAACCGCTCCTGGGCAGGGAAGGGCTTGTTCTGCAGCGGGTGCAGAGCTCCCACGCCCTGCAGCACCCCGGGGCCTCCGGCCAAAACTCACACCAGGGAGCCCCGAGGGAACTGCAGCAGCAGACCTCACACCTCGCCTTCCCTGCAGCTATTAAAACCTAAGTGAGACATTAATTTCTGCATTGTAAGTGCTCAACAACTGAAACAGGACATTATGGAGGGGATGCAAATAGATATTTAGAGCCTAGAAAGATAAAGGCACAGCAGTTTTGGAAAAGATGCGATTAAAAGCGCACAGAGAGAGGAAACAACCTGTTTAAGTAGTACATCAGAGGGATCATTACAGGTTGGAGAAGGGGGCACCCCCTGAGCAGAAACACTTGCAAAGCGCATTCAGAGCTGGGTGATTTGCTCAGCTCAGCAAAACCAACAGAGCCAAGAGGGAAGAAGCTGAACTGAAAGAAATAACCTTTCTCTTCCTTCCTGCACCCAAAAAAGGACCCCAGCCCCTTCCCCCGGCACCTCTGGCAGGGCACACTAGGGAGCCAGCCTGGGAGAAAGCCCCTCCATGAGACAGGCCCCCTCCCAGAGACCCCTCCCGAGCCAGCACTCAGGGGAGGACCCGGGCGGACACGGGGGTGCTCGGGGACAGGGACCCACAGCTGCGCATCTGCCCTGGCAGGGCCTCCAGCATTTCCATGCGCAACAGCCGTGGCACCAGCAGAACAAGCTGCAGTGACTGCTGCAGACACACCAGGCTAAAAAGAGAGAAACCAGTGCACGTACCTGGTAGCAGCCCCTTGGCCTGGCAGGCAGACTCCTCTCTCCAGGGCTAAGAGGAGCAGGGGGGGAGCGAGTGCCCCCCACCCCACATTCTCTGCCCCCCGGGGCCTGGCTGAGCCCTGCCAGGAGGGCTCTGGCTGCTCCCCGCTCGCATTCCCCCAGCTGAAAGCAGGCTGCCCTGAGCAGCAGCACATTCAAATATCCCCCATAACGCAGGGCAGCTGGTCCCCGCCTCCAGGTGCTTTCATCCCTAAATGACCCAGGTGCCCCTTCTTCCCCCAGGCCGACCTGCCCCATCCCCGGGGGGTGATGCCCGGGATGTACCAGTCCTGCTGCTGCCGCACTCACCATGAAAATCTCCCTCGTCCCCCCAGCCTGGCCCTGCCTGCGCCCCTCCTCCAGCCGCACACCCCTGCGCCAGCACCGCCTTCGGCCTCGGGCGCAGCGGCAGCGCGGGGGCAAAGCGGGGACTCCAAATTTAACAACCCCTCGCAGCCAGCGTTTGCGTGCCGGCGGCTCCTGGCATCCCTCGCTGAATGATGGCTAGCAGGCAATTAAACTACCTGCTCAAAAGGTTACCGAGAAAAAAACACTTCTCCCCCTTTTTGAACCGGGCATTTATCAGGTCTCGCCGTGACCTTTCGCATGACAGGATTTAATGCTGCCTCTGCTGAGGCTCCGAGCTCGCTCGAAGCGTGCACCCATGGGTGCTGAGGGGGGCCCTCCCAGGGCAGCCTCACCGCGGAGGGGTGCCGTGCCATAAATGCTCCCACGTGTGTGAAGTTTCCCCTCCAAACACGCGGAGCCGCTCCTGCAGCGCAGCCCTGATGCGGGTGGGATTCCCGCCCGGCCCCGCTCCCGGGGAAGCCCTGGCACCAGCGCGCCCAGTCCTGGCGCTGTAGCGGAATGGGAGCCACTGGTGCGGGGGCCGAGGGCTCCTGCAAAGCACATCTTTGTCTCCATGACTTCCTGGGACGCTCAGCCCCGCAAGATGAGGACCGGCTAGTCCACAAGAAGTTCCCTCTCTTAAATTGGCATGCGAAACCGCCCCGCTCTCCGCACATGCGTGCCGCCGCGCCTGTGTGTACACACACTCATTAAACAAATGCTAGCTATCAATTTCACTGAGTGCTTATTCTGATAATAGCTATATTTATCATTTAGCATCTCTGGATGCAGTTCAAGTTTAAAATCTATTATGGGTATTATGATACTTAATAACTGTGTTTTATTTTTAAATGCAATAAAAAATAAAGATAAGGAGATTTCTTTTAAAGCCCCCTCCCGGGCTCTGAATCCATCTCTGTCACTGACACGCTGAGTGACCTTGGAGAGGTCGCTTATACTCTCCGTGCCGGAGCTTCTGGATCATAAGATGGGGATAATCAGACGATCTGCTGCCTGGGGGTGTTATGAAGCCTCCTTCTTAATTAATGTTTATAGAGTGATGTCATCTCCCCGGGCGGCAGGGCCGAGTGCCTGTCAGTGTTTCATTTGAGAGGCACCGGACCGCCCGACGCGGAGCCACGGCGGAGCACGTCAGGATGGGCCACCATCCCCTGGGACGCACTGGGAGAAGGGACGAGGGCGTGATGGGACCCAGGATGGGGCAGGGTTTGCTGCACACCCCCCTGTCCTCACCCCGCCCTCGCTCGTCCTGTACGTGCCCGTTGGCGAGAGCACCGTCACTAAATCACCTCTTCTGCTGGGCAGAGAGCCCCCGGCCCGCCCCTAAGCAGAGTGTTTTATGGTGAGGCAGCGGCTGGGCGATGGCAGCGGCGGCTGGGAGGAAGGATCAGGGCTGCGGCAATAAATAACAGCCTCGGATCAGCAGGAAGCCCCCAGGAAGAGGCGGGCACGCCATCCATCACCCCAAGGACGGGGACGCAGATGCCGGCGTCACCGGTGCCATCGCGTGTCCTCACCCGGGGAGACGATCGAGGCAGCCAGAGGCCGTGCACCAGCTGCGCTCACCAGAAACCCCCCGTGTGACGGCCTCACCTTTCGTGCTTACGTGGAGATGTCCCTCCCTCCAGCATCAGCCACTGGCACATCTTCTCCACCCGCTCCAAGGCAGGAATTACCGCTGTTATCAATATATGGCCCTGGCCCCAGGCACTGGCCAAACCCCCTCAAGGCTCCTCGGGGACGCCAGGCGCTTGCCCACAGGCAGCGAGGAGAGCCTGATTCTGGGGCATCCACAGCACCGGTGGATGGTGATGCACCACGGGCTGCCCAGTGCTGCCCCCAGACTGGGAAGACCCCCAGGCCCAGTTTCAGAGGCGCGGCAGGGCAGTGAGCATTGCTCTCCCGTGCCATTTACCCACCTGCGGCTGATCAGCAGGCGGCACGGGGAGGAAAGGGCTGGAGCGAGGGATGCTTGGAGGGAGGGATGCTCGGAGGAGGGAGGGATGCTCGGAGGAGGGAGGGATGCTCGTGGGCACACAGCTGAAGGGTGCAGGGTCTGGAGCAGCCTGGCAGTACTGCTCCCGCTCTCCTGTGCCGCCGCTGCCCGTGCACCGTTCCGTACAGGAGCAGCGGGCGCCGCGGCTCGCTGCCTCGGCACAGCCCAGGTACCACCCTGGGGAACGTGGCAGCACCAGCGCTGCCCAGGACGCGGCGTGCCCACCCCGCGCGACAAGCACCCTCAGGAGAAGGCGCCGCGTTCAAGTTCCCAAGTCGGTCACTACGATTATTTCATTATTAATAATAATGTGCTTCTTTCAGGGGCATCGGGCTTACTGCCCCCATTCCCTGCCCTTAGACTACACAGTCCGGTGGCCTTACACCCTTCCACCGCAGAGTGGACAAACAATTTGCATAACTTAATTAAATTTACAGTAATCTTCACCGGAGTCAGCCTGTAAGGGATGGTGTGTACACGGTCTTAAAGCAAATCACCGCTAGTGATGAAAGAGCCTATTTCAGTTAAGCAAATTATGAGGAGGCGGGTGATGTCCTCAGTATAATAATTCCATGTGAATTATTTATATGGAATCTGCAATTACACTGAGCAAAACAGTGTTGTGTGCATAAAGCACACTTAATTATCCAACCACCTGTTAGGAGCGCCGGCGCAGCCGACGGCAGCGTCGCCCGTGAATTTCCCCGCTGCCAGCGGCGGGGCTGGGGAGCAGCGGCCCGCAGGAAGGGAGGGAAGAGCCGAGGACCCCACAGCCAGCGCCGGGGGAGCGGGGGGCTCGTGCCCCAGAGCCCCCCCCAGCAGCCAGCACAGCAGGGGCAGCAGGCAGGGCTTCTGCCGGCAGTGCAGGAAACGCTCCATTTCAGGTCAACCCCAAATGTCTATTTTCACTCTGAGAAAGGTCCCGATTAGCTTTTTAATTTTTTTTTTTATTTTTTTTTTCCTTTTAAGCGACTTCAGAATAGATAGTTTTAAACGGAAAGGACTGCCAGCTTGCATCAGTCCCGGGAGGATTCCACAGGGCAAATGAACTCATTTCAGCAGGAGTCCAAGGCAGGCATCAACCCGGTCCTCGAAGCAGGAAAAATCCCCTCTCCTCCTGCCCCCAGTTCCCCACTTCACGCTCTGACGGAGCTCTTCTCGGTGACAACTCGACTTTTTAGGTTGAGTCACTGACCCGGCAGAGCTTGTGCCTCCAGCCCATCAAAGGATGGACCAGTCCTGAATGTTTAATGGAAGGGAACCGAGTGCTTTTCCTTTAAAGATTTACCATGTATAAATGTATGAGAATATTAAAGGCAACAATTAACTTTATTGGAAACTTTATATTCTCCAGCCTCATTAGAACTGCCAACAAGATCTATTATTAGTATTACTATGCAGATAATGTAATAAAAAGGGTATTTAAAGTGGATACTTTTGCACTGAAATAAAACAGCTTTTCTTTCACGTCCTTTCTGCCTCTCTCCCTTCTGCCCTACGTTGCATCGCATCAGAGACCTGGACCAAGTCCTGAGCGGTTTTTAATCTCCCTCCCTGCTCCCCCCGCTCGCCCGCGCGGCACCGGGGAGCCGGCAGCCCTGCTCCGACCCCGGCTTTCCCGCTTGGAGATCCGTCAGTCTGTCCGTCTGTGCTGTGCTGGCGAGTGCCACCGGCCTGGCCAGCGGCGAGGGAGGGCCAGCCTGCCCCGGGGGGGAGGAAGAGGAGGAGGAGGAAGAGGCTGCTGGGCTGGGCAGAAAGCGCGGTCCACGGACGGATGGCCTCCTTGCCGCTCGTGGGACGGGTTCAGGTCCTGAAAGTAGCCATGTTTCTTTCAATAACCTCAAATACTCGTTAAAACAGCGAGGACAGAACTAAGGACGGGCATGTTTTTGCCAAATTCAGCCCCAATAACCCAAAAATACTGTCCACGGGCTGCTGGAACTAGAATAATGTAGATTAAGAAAGTGTTCGGTGGCGTTTGCCCTTCCGCAGCAAACCTGTGAACTTCTGAGGGAAAAGGACCCATTTTGTCCGCCTATTTATTTCATTAAACTCCCTGTCCTCTGTAGGGAAAAGCGTCAATGGAACATTTCCTCCGGCCCCGCCGGGGCTTCGGAGCAGCAGCAGCGCAGCGCTGCCTTTGCCGGCTGCCGGGGAGGGATCGGCCGTTCTGCCCGGCGGCTGCGCCGCGCCGGGTGGCACAGAGGCGAGCTCGCCTCTCCTAATGATGCCCAATTTTTTTCCTGTTTTTTAAGACCCTTACATTTCTCACCTGCGACGTCTGCTGCTCTTGCAGGGCTTCCGATCTGAGAGTTGCCACCCCAAAGCTTCCTTTCACCAAATCCCTTCACAGCAACAAGTAGCAGCTGGAGAAAAGGCAGCCTTTAAAGAATAAAGAAATAAAAAGGTTTCCTTTTGTGATGAAAACGTCAGGACTCCTTCTTCTCCCCTCACTATGGTTGCGCTTTGAGTGATAATGTAAAAACTGAAGTCAAAACTGAAAGCAGAAGGCGGCAGCGGCGTGGTGGGAAGGCGAGGGCCGGCCGAGGGGATCCCGGCAGCTTCACCGCTCCCGCACCCCCCCAAAACCCCTGGGAGCGGAACGTGGCCGGCTCAGCGCCCGCCGGGGCACCCACAGAGACCGGCGGGGCCCGCTGGAAATGAGAAAGCTGCTGCCAAAACCCGTAAGCCGATGGTGAACAGCGATATTTCATCTGGCGCTGGTCCCCGAGGCGCCGCTGCACCGAGCGAGAGGCGTTCGGGGACCCGGGACGTGGACTCTATCATCATAAAAAAGAATCTGTTTAATTTGTGGGTTTAAATTTTAAATAACTGCTGGAGCAGAGCTGCTCTCGGCTCTCAAGCCAGCGCTCAGCCGCACTATTCACGTTCCGCTTCTGCAAGAGTCCCCAGGGGGGATTCAAATGCCATTTAAATGAGCTCATTCCTCCTTCCTTTCTTAATATTTCTCCAGCGCCGGGCAGGGGCAGGGCAGCCTCGGGCCCCGGCTTCCTCTCATCGCGGCGCGCAGCCTCGCTCGTCCCTGGGGGCACCGAGCCCTGGGTGCCCCCGGGGTCCCCACGGTGCCGGGACGGTGCCACGCCGGGCAGCGGTCGTGCCGGGGCAGGAGCCTTTCGGCTCGGAGGGGCTCTCCCCGCCCCTGCTCGGAGCTGAGGCCGGCCGCAGCGGTGATGGTCGCTGTCCCCAGCGCGGCTGCTCCTCCTCGCTTCCCCCGCAGCGGTCCCGCTCCCTGCCTCCCGCGCCTGGGCGCTCTCCATCATGTTTATTACACCCTGCAGTCTAATTAACAGAGAGGAGTCAAAGGACCCGAAAGCAATGATTGTAATAAATAATCACTCGGTGACCGCGGAGTTAATATTCCACCAGGGTCTCCTCCTGGCCTCCAGAAGAAATGGCAGAGAGAGAAGAGAAGAGAAGAGAATAGAAGAGAAATGAAGCTGTGCAGCTCAACATGTGGAGGACTGCCTGGAGGGGAGCTGCCGCCTGCCCCTCCCCGCTTCGCCTCCTCCCCGAAAACTTTAGAGCAATTGCAAAAACTTTCCCGGGAGCTTCTTTGACGCGGCGTCCAGCGTCAGGGATTTGGGGGTGCTCAGGAAACGCTGTAAAAATCAACACGGGCCAACTCGTCTTTTCTGAAGAGACTGTCCCAGGGGGAAGTGGAGCACCACACCTTGGGTTGCCGCGGCTCTCCGCGCCTCGTGCCGGCCCGTAGCTCCCAGCGCTCCGGGGTCCCGATCCCACGCCCGTGGCAACGCCCGCAGCCCGTGGAAGGGCTGTGCGGAGGCTTTGGGATGGCTGCCCGGCCGAGGACACACGGACCGCGAGGCCTTCCCCCTGCCTCCTCCTCGGGACAGTGCCAGCGGATGCTCTGGGTGCTCCGCTACATCCCCGCACATCCCGCTGGTTCCTCACGTGCCCCCGCGGTGCCGGGAGCTGCCGGGAGCGTCCCACGGCGCCGGGAGCATCCCGCGCTCCCCTCCAGGTTCAGAGGCTGCGATGGGACGCTGCACGCAGCCCCATGCAATTATCTGTGGAGAGCTTGGCAGTGCTGATAATTTGTTAGCTCCACACATATCTCTACTAATTATAAATCTCAGCTGAGATTTGCATTTTTATGAAATGCTTGTGCTAGAAATCTTTATAAAAAAAACATACATATTAATTCAATCTAATCTCGGTCATTTCAGGTTCCATAAGAAAGCGTTTTTATAAAGCTACAAAGCTAACATCTCTAACTTTGCGGTTTCGCCAGAGCGCATACCTCCGCGCTAAGTTGTACATTTATCTTCCGAGGTGGCGCTGACGATGAGAGCTAACGAAGCGCGAGCGCTCGGCAGCCCGGCGCTGGGGTGCTGGGCCCCGGCCGTGCCCCCCCGAGCTCGCCCGCGGGGGGCTGCTTCCCACGCCGGTTGCGTCAGCGCGGGACGAGCTGGAGGCGGGACAGCTCACCGGGGTTCGGGGTGTCCCCGGTCCCAGGTGCCGGCAGCTGTCGCTGCTCCTCGGCCGCTGTCTTTCACCCTGGCACCTCACCCAAAGGGCTTTCCTCCCTGTCGGGGGGGGGGGGGGGGGGGGGGGCCTCTTTCAGGCGGGCCTTGCCCAGCTAAGGCTGAAAGCCGGCGATTTCATCAGCAATTTGTATCTCATTCGAAATGCCTTTGTCTGGAGTCAGGGGAAAAAAAGATTAACTTTCCCTCCCTGAAATATGGCTGCCGGATGCAGGGGAATAGAGAAGGCAAATAAGCCAAGCAAAGTTAAGCTTTCTGTACAGAGCTGGAGGCTTAACGGTGCGGATTACAACAGCAGGTGATGAGCAGCTCCAGCCTCTGCTGCGTAGGCTGTGAAAAATCCCATTAAAGCGCAAAGGCGCGCTAGCTACAGCCCCCTGGCTCAGCGCGGGCTGAGCTGCCGACCCCCGGGGAGCGGGAGCGATCCTGCCGCGGGCTGAGCGGGGGCTGAGCCGCGCCGAGGGACGCGCCTGCGCTCCCAGCCCGTCCCGTCCCACCCCGGCTCCGGCTCCGGAGGGGACCCGCTCCCGCGCCTGCTTGGCCGCAGTTAATGAGGAGCAAATCCGGAGGATGAAAGGGCGGTGGGAGACGGGGCAGGCTCAGCAGTGACGCAGGCGAGCGACCAGGACGCAGGAGGAGAAGAGTGTCTTGGGGCAAGCTCGAGGAAAGGTCAAGAGCTTGCTTTATTGCCTTAAATAATTTATTAAGTGCCCATCTTCAAAGGCGCCGGTGCCGAGTACAAAACCAAAAGCAGCGAGGTGTCGGGAAGGGGGGCACGGGCAGCGCGGCGCGGGTGCTGGGTGAGCCTTCCTCCGCAGCCCTCCTGCGCAGCAGCCTCCTCAGCACCCACAGGTGCTGCTGGAGTGTCTGCCCATTAGCTGCTAATTAGCTAATATTCCGTCCTTGGGAGGGGCTCCGTGGCTGTCAGCAGATACGGGCTGCCCGCTCCATCCCACGGGCGAGCCCCACACTTGCCATCAGCCCCCCTCCCCGGGAAGCGGGGGGCTGTGGGGGACCTTCCCCGGGGGGGGCTGGCACGCTTCGGTCTGCCCCGTGCAGGCGAGGAGCCTCCTGTGACCGTGGGGAAGCCTCAAACCCCCGTGCTCCCAGTACCACACGAAAGGCAAGAAAACGCTCCCGGGCCGGGCGGCATACCCCAGGAGGTCGGCCCGGGCCACGTCTCAGCTGGCCGGCTCCTTTCCTGCCGAAGGAAGACCAACGTTTCCCGTTTCTGGAAGAAGAGGGTGCCGGGGGGCCCCTCGGTTGCCCCCCGTGCCTTGGGGAGCTTCCCAGCGCCGGCTCCTGTCCGTAGAGCCAGAGCTTTCCGGCTCATCCAAAGCAAACCTCCGGGCCCCACGAGGTTTGTCCTTCGCTAGGAATTAGAGACAAGTTTCCAGCGCTTTCCTCCGCCATCTGCCCCGGCTTTAGTTGAAATGCAACGTTTTACTCTGGCAATCAGTAGGTAATCTTGTCAGCATTACTTAGAGAACCTGGGTCTGTCCAGCCCATCTGATGCTCTGTGCAGCAGAGGGAAAATCATGGCTCCCTCTTGAAAGGAGGGGAGAAATTAAGGTTGACTTTGGCACAGGAAAACAAGCAATCCAGAGATGACAATGTGCCACAGGAGCTTAAAATAAGCATCAACTAATTCAAACAAAAACAAATCTGCATGGAAAACAGACTCTTCCCCAGTCCACATCCCCACTTTAAAGTGCCTTTGAATTCTCCCCGGCGCATTTAGAACATGGGCTCCCTTCACAGCCTCTCACTCGCTGTGTTTTGCTGTTTGGTAGCAGGCAAATGAGGGCTGAAGTTTGAAATGATGTTAGCACGCATGCAAACACTAATAAATAGCTCAGCACTTGCCGTGCCAGCTCACTCCGTGCTCGGCCCCGGCAGCCCTCCTGCGGGCGAGCAGGGGAAGGGCAAACGCCGTTGAAAACACGGGTAGCCACCTTTGCTTTGCTACCGCAAAAGCCCCGGCTTCGCCCTTCACGGGGCACGACCCGGGCTGCGAGCTGCAGCAGCTCCAGCGCCGTCCCTGCCCCGTCCCACCTCTCCCAGGAGAGCGGCCACTGGCAGCCCCTGGAAAAGCGGCTTCCCCGGCCCCGGCACCGAAGGGGAAAATGCAGAAAATGAGCAGCTCATCGTCGAGCAGCAGCCGGCATCCTCACAAACCAGCACGCCTCGGCTCTGAAGGGGCGCACGGGGCCTTGCTGGTGGCTGGGGCCTTACGGGCTGCCGCTGGCCAGCCGGCACGGCCCGCTAGCCGCAAGGGAGGCTGCGGGCTCCCCCGTGGTAGCCGCCAGTTTCGGGGCAGATCTTGGATCATTTGATAGGGAATTTCAAATGATCGCTTAAGTAGCTAATTAGCTCGCACCAACTCTGAGCAACCTGGGTGTGGGGTGGCGTGTATTTCAGTGTTTAATGCCCTGTTCCCCCCCTCTCTCTTCCTTCCTAATTGGCATTTAATTAAAAGAAAAAAAAAAAAAAAAAAAAAAAAAAAGCAGCTTTGCCTGAGTAGCTTGGGTTTAAATGTTGAACAGTTTGCTTCTCCTCAAGCTGGGCTGCGGCTCGGGATGCCACGGCAGAGGGGCCAGGGGCTGCCGGCAGACCCCGGCGATGGGGGGGATGCTGCAGCACCGCGTCCCCATCCTTGGGGCACCCAGGCAGCACCTCTTGAAACGTCTTTGGGATGGAAGGTCCCTGCCATACCTCCCTCAGCAGATGACCAGCCGCTCTGAAAAGTTGACATCTAGAAGTTTAACTTTCCCCGTCTTCATTAGAATTTGGGTGGATTTGATGCAAAACACAGCAAAAGTGCACGACTGTGAATACCAAGCGTGTTAA